CTTGTTCCGGATAATCCCCTTGTTGTCTTTCCGTCAATCAATCAATCTTTTTCACGTGGAATTCCCGATCCACTTCACCACAATCGTCTCCTGTCCGCCGTTGTTGCTGCACAAGAGTATCACGGCCGACATCTCGCCACTTTTCCAACCTCGGACTTCAGCCACTCATTTCGCTCCATGTCCCATTCCGCCCAAGGCACTCCCTCTGGGTCGCAGCGCGACGATCCGTCCCAGTTACCTTACGCCGAGGACGACATGCTGGAGGATCTGCAACGGATCTCGGTCGAACTCTTCAGACGCGCTGGCGAACTCCAAGCCCGGTTAGCGGCTAGTACTGCGATGGACGCCGACGAAGATCTCGTTGCTGCTGAGAATATCCGCGCTCTACAGGATTATTTTCATGAACAGGACGGAGTGATCGCATTCATGTTGCAAGAGATCCAGCGTGTTTGTTGGGATCGAGACTTCGCTTTAGACACTCTGGATCGCAGCGACCGCAATCTACCCAAAGACAGGAGTCACCGGATCCACACTCTGGAATCCCAAGTTGCAGATCTCGAGGCCAAAGTTGCCCCTTTGGTTGACCAGTGCGATCGTCTGACACGTGAACGCAATGATCTGCTCCACGTTCGTGAAGATCTATCCTCAGAGCGCGACGGCCTAGCGACGGATCTGCAACAATTGGATGAGGAGATCGTGAATCTTCAGGACGAACGACAGCGCAGTGATATCGCTCGAATCGAAGCCGAAGAGCGTTCCCGCGCTACCGAGGAGGTCCTGAGACTTTTCCGAGTCGAGAGCACACGGCTGGACGCGGATCTTGTCTCTTCGGGTGGCGACGGCATACTCAAAGCGCTATTATCTCGAGCCAAGACGGAACGTGATGCCGCTCTCCAGAAGATCCAGATCCGGCAAGATGAAGTTGCCTCTCTCAACCAAAATATGCAGAAACTCCTCGACGATCTGGATCAGGAGCGTGATCAGCTCGCTGCGGCGAGAAAGAAGCTCGACGAGATCACTCGGGAGCGCGACCGCCTCCACGTGGATGTCACTGCTCGGAGTAAGCTCCATGATCTTGCATACAATGTACAACGTCATCCAACCTTCGCTGCTCATGTGCAGATCACGACGTGGCGGTTGCCAGGGAAGCTTACGGCCAGCGAGAGCGCACGATCACCGAAAACACTGCGCGGATCCAGGCTCTCTCTACTGACATCGACATCCTCACTGTGGATCGGACAGATTTGCGGTGTGAACTTCGCTGGACATTGTACATTATCGGTCAGATCGCCGACGTGATGGGATCTTCGCCGCCGACGACTTCTCTCAGTCTCGGATCCGAGTCAGACCTGGATCCTTCCAGTGAGAACGATGGAGGTGCTTCTACCAAAGATCGCCACTCCGACTCTCCTTCTACGGATGATCCTTCACCCGATATCTCCAAATTGCTCAAGGATCGCCAGGATCCAACTCGCCTTCGGCGAAGAACACCAAGCGTCCGCGCAGTACATCTTCCTCTTCCATCCCCAGTCGTCCCTCCAAGCGCAAATCACGACCCCTGGAGGAGAAGATGACGAAGATCTAGCTGAAGAGCCTGCCTATATCGACGTGGGTGGCGGATCCCCGCCGGGTGATGGCTTCACGCCGACACGACGGATCCAGACAGCTCCACTCCCTCCACCAATTCCGAGTTCGAGGAGGTCAAAAATTATATGTTTGAAGTGGACACCCTTCGATCTATTGCCGAGTCAAGATCCGCGCAACATCGGCGCGATCACGCATCTCCGCGTCGTACCGGTGGCGGTGGAGGGGGTGATCCGGGCGATGACGGATCTGGCCACGACAGTGATGATGTTCCAGATCCTCCTGCCGATCGACCTGCTGGTAATCATCCGCCTCCTAATCCAGCTATGTTACCCCAGGATCCTCTCGTCCAGAATCTCTGCATTCCAGGGCGCCCCAGATCCGTGTGTTTTCGGTTGCCGATATCGATCCCTGGGTGCTGGATGATACAAGTCGATGGACGATCATGACGATGATGGTGGATTTTCTTGCGACTGCGCTGCCTTTTCGATCCGAGTGGATCTACCCTCACCACGCACCACGATCTCGACCTCCCTCAGATGCAGATTACGCGCTCACTTGACCACCGCAGACAACATCGAGGCTCTTAACCGCGAGTCTCCCTGGGAGATCCTCGGCGGGGGTAATGTACCAGATCCGATTTGATTCGATATCCTGGTAGGTGGCCGACTTGGCGTTTTCCTGGAGGAGTACTCGCAATTGGAGATCCGAGACATCATCGCGTACTGGGAATCTACCCACAAGCTCCCGATCACTAAGCGCATGTGTGCAGATTCTCTTCGTCTCTGCAAGGTGCGCAACAATCGACGATCTCATGCCGGAGATCGCTGGCGCAGGATCCTACCCATTTTCGTTTTGGCCATGCAGGAAGGGTTGGTGCAATCTCGATCTCCTGCTGGATCCTTTCTTTCTCCATTTCCCCAAGATATCAGACGAGGTGACTTGGTATCCGGGAATCGAAGCTCGTCGCGCTGGTCGGCCGGATCCTGCTACCTTGGTCGAGACACATGTCGATTGTGACGAGGCGGATCCGTGGCGAAACCATTATCGCATCTCCACAACGGATCATCCTGCGCATCGGATCCATCGGCTGATGAAGAAGTTCTTCGACATGGAGAGTGCTCGACACAACTCGCCTCCGGATCCGGACGTACCTGCCGATCCTGAGGTACCCGCCAGATCTGATGCTTTAGCAGATCTGTGATACTCCCGCTAATATATGTCTCCTTTCGTTTTACTTCACTGATCATTTCACTCTCGTTCATGCAGGGTCCATTAGTTCGCGATCCACCTCCACATCATCTCGGATCTCGATCTTTGTAGTTTTCAGCACATTGAAATATATCCATATATACATACACCTGCCTTCCTCCGACCCGCAGCCTCCCTGCAGATCCTTAATCCTAGCTTTCTCGCATTAGTGACGAGCTCACTGATGCGGATCTTGACCTTAGGCCTCCTCGTGAGATTGCATCACGCCAAAACAATTATGATTGGCACGAACCCGCAAGGATTCGTGGAGTATTGCTCCACAGTTGAGATCTGCCTCATCGATCCAGGTCGGACCTTCGTGCCCACGCCAGTGTACCAAGAATTCACGCAGGATCCGGCCATATCTTGTTCTCCTGCCAGTCCTCATATCCGAGATCCTCTCAACCTCGTACTCGTCCGGTTCACGATCTTGAATCCAGCTATCTCCAAGGAGAAGTGCATCGTCGAAATCCAGCCGATCCTAGTAAGACGTTCAACCGACCGATCCGGGAAGTCCCTAACAGGCTTGATCTTCGACACATGAACTACGGGGAAAATATTGTATGCGGATCCGGCGATCTCGAGTTTCACCGCGTACTCTTCTCAGCCATACGGAAAGGGCCATGCCACAGATGCGCGAGCTTCTTGGCATATCCCTCTCGCACTCGATCTAGATATAACCAGACTCGAGATCCGGCCTCGACTTGATGCGGACGTACTATATCGTTATGATGATTCACCCGATCCGAGATCGCCTTCCGCAAGCGTTGATTGACTTGCTCTCGAGCCTGCTGGTAGTGCCTCTGGATCCGGTATCGCCACCTCCGCGGATCCCGATCCTGTCTTCTTGTATTTCCCATCGAGATCACCACTCCAGTGTGAATCTCGGATCCCAGCCGTGAGCCATGTAGAACGGTGTCTCTCTTCGGATCCGATCTCGAGCGGTGTTGATCGCGAAGGTAAGTCGCTCAGCGTCTTCGTCCCAATCTCACTGATCCAGATCTTGAACATATATTTTGAGTGCCCTTGTGGTGGTTTGCGCCATCCTTTCCGCGGATCCGTTCGCCTGGGGTCTATATGCCATTGTTGCACGTTGACGCTGATCCAGGATCTTGTGATACGCGCGAAAGAAATCAGACATAAATCCGGGTTCACGATCATGGCGGATCACCTCGCTGGCACCAAATCGGCGGAACATATATTCCTAGTTGGATTCTACCAGAGTCTGAGCCGTCCTGGATCCGCTCGCTTTGGCGATCACATAACAAGAGAAGAGATCCTCGAAGTTCAACAACTCAGTGTTACCTTTATAAGATCTGAGCAATGAAGGGATGTGATCCCTAGCGATGATCTGGAATGGATAGGTCGCTTGAAGATTACCCAGCGATTCGCCCTGGATCCGAGGTCGCCCCTTTCCGGTCTCGCAGTCAATACACTCACCGACATATCTTTGCACACTCCGATATAATCCTCTCCAGTGAAAATGATCCCGGATCCGATCGTAAGTACGGCCGATCCCCTGATGTCCACCTTGGAGACTGGTATGATAATGGTGTAGAAGATCTTGATGCAACGTTTCAGATAATACCAGTCGCATGAGTTTGTCCCGATCCGCAGCTGATTCTTTCGTAGTAGGGCAATAGAAAAGGAGCTCATGCTGATCCACTTCATAATTCATGGCGATGGATACGCAAGATCTGGCCTCTTCCTGTGTCAGATCGCGTACTTTACCAGTCAGATACTGCTTCAAACCGTGGATCCACGCCGCCTCGTCCTGAGCCTGTCGGATCCGCTCGATCCTGAGCTCTCTGATCACTTCCTCGCGCAGTACCGGGGGGTTGGATCCCGATCTCACGCCAGATCTAGCCTTTGATCTACTTGTAACGGCTGAGATCTGCACTGCCGCATCCTCGGATTACACCACCAATATCTCGTCCAGTCGGTTCAATGTGATCAGATCCTGGATCTCGCTATGGTTTCGATCTCGACTCCACATTGTCGTTGCGGCACTAGCCAGACTATCTGCACTTCCGTTCCAATCCCGTTTCACATGTACCAACTCATGATCCGGCCGGATCCGCAGTCTGTCCAACGCCTTCTGTCTTAGTAATGTCAATCCATGCGCCTTGCAGTCGATTTCACCTCTAACGTGGCGGATCACCAAGTTTGAGTCGCCACAGATCACCAGTCGTAGCGGATCCGTCCCTTCTAGCAAGTCAAGACATAAGAAAAGGCCGTGATATTCGGCCTCATTGACGGGTAAACCTTCGGTATAGCCGGATCTGGCCTTCACCACAGTCCACTCAGGTAATTTCCACAGGATTGCGCTGTAGACGCCTCCATCTCGCTTGACACGGGCAGATCCGTCGAAGCTAGTGACATACAGATCCTCATCTGATCTCACTGTCGGGATCGGGGCTTGGATATTGCGTCTCGGCTCCTTCTTCGGGGTGATCGAGATCAGTGCTTTGTCGACTTCGGATCTGGGAGTGATACTGGCTGCTAATGTGCCCTGAATCTCATCCTCGCCCTAGCTACACTTGACGATCTCGAGGATCCAGAATGAAAAAAGCGGCCCACTGTCCCAGACGACCTAGTAATGCATTGGATCTAAACAACCAAGCCAGTGTAGAGTGTCGTGTCAGCACTTGGATCGACCTCACAACCAAAGTATTATAGTTGAGATCCAGGGTCCGCAACAATGCCAACACCTCTTTCTCCACGATCCCGTAGTTTAACTCGTCGGACTTCAACGTACGACTCGGGAACATCACTGGATAGTAGATTTGATCATACTCTTGCATCACTGCACCGGAGATCGCCCAATCACTGGCATATACAACCACCACAGCTTGTCGATCCGTATCAAAGTGACATAGGATAGGCGTTGTCGCAATCTTCTCCTTCAACACCTTGACTGATCTGTGAGCATGAATCCACCGGGGATCCAGATCTGCGAAATTATCCTTCTCGAAGTCCGACACCTCCACCATGGTCAAGCGTCGGATCCCATGACACTAAGTTCGAATCTTGCTGGCTAAGTTCGAGATGTGGACCCCGCGGATCCGGATCCGAGGGTTGCGAACTTGTCGGATCCTCAGTCAGTATCTCCGGATCCAGCGATTCCGACGCTAGTGCTAGCTGAATCCGGCTTTGATTCACGCCCTTCTCCATCGCAGCATAGTCGATCCCCCTCAACTCATATAGTACAGACGCGTAGATCACATAATCCTCGATGAAGCGACTATAATAGTTCAGGCTGATTGCATCGCCCGCAGGGATCCGGGAAACTCGAGATCCGTCAACGCCGACAGATCCTTCGGATTTGCCTCCAGTCCATCGTACGATACCTTGTGCCACCTTGGGCATGCCCCAGAAACTCTTGACAACGCAGATCGACAAGTTCCATTTGTTGCACGCCTCCAGAAGATCTTCCACACAGTCACATAGCTGATCCCAATCATCTGCCGGTACTAGGATGTCGTCGATGTAGGATCTGCGTCCTAACACCGATGGTTTGCCCGGATCCTCAGATTCTCTGGCCTCGAATAAATCCAGACGCTCAAGATCACCTGCCATTTTCGGGATTTGGGTGAACCCATATAAGGCGTTGCCGATCAGCTGGTAGATCTGCGGCGCATTCTTCAGCCCAAAAGGCATCCGATTCCACTCGAAAAGTCCAAATGGGGTGATAAAGGCCGAGATCAGGCGGGCCCGATCCGTCATCTTCACCACCCAAAACCCACTCACCATATCTAGTGAGCAATATCATAGTGTAGACCCCAGATCCTCGAGTAGATCGTTGATCAGCGGCATCGGGTAGACCATCAGCTGTGTCAAACTGTTAACCAACCACATAATCGTATATCCGCACCATTCTTCTTGATGATCACGACGATCGGCGATGCCCATGGAGATCTTGAGTGGTTGATCATCTTCGCCGACAGGAGACCCTTGATCAGTTCTGTCAACTTCTCTCGGAACTGGATCCGCAGCTTTCGGCACTTAAGCGCGATCGGCCGAGCTCCTCCCACATCAATATCGCACACAACCCCTCGGGCCGCTGGTGGGAGCGCATTTCCTTTGCCGATCAGGAGATGTCTAAACTTCCAGATCCGCTGGCGAGATCCGCTGACGGAGTCGGTCGATTTCTTCCGGCGTCTGATTATCAGATCCGCACAATTGGATGTCCTCGATCCTCACATCTTCTGTCGTTACTGGGACTTCGGGCAGTACCGCGAGTTGTCCGTCGACGTCTTCGGCGTAGAGATCGCTGCCTTCGTGGTAACACACGCATTCGTCGTAATCCTGATCCGAGTCCCAAGTGAGGTCCAGATCCGATGTGTCAGGCTGATCTTCAGGAACAACCGCCGGATGCTCGTCCTTTTTCTGCTATATGGACGCGGCGTCCTTCTGGTCCAACGGATCACCTAACTTACGGCCTGTCTCAGATTCTACACCCATCAATGATGATGGGTGTAACCCATCACCCTTCAAAGTCGACACCTTCAGATATTGGACTTCTTGGGCTGACGGATCTTGATCCACGCCAGTTGCACCATTTAGAGCTTCATTAGCCAATACAGTTTCCGAGGTTGTAGCTTCGACTATGGCCGGATCCACCGTTATAATATCTGATACGCTCGGATCCCGATTGTCCATCGTCTCCAAGATCGTTACGACATGTGACATAGAGTCGTCATCTGCGATAGACGACAGATCCGACTCATCACTTGCGACAGACGACACATCCAACGGTCGACAATCCGGCAGCAGATTGTCCGACGGCAGATTATCCGAAGACGGGTGGTCAAAGACCTCTTGATCTCCACTTGATCCGCCCTTCAGACACTTGATCGCTGTCGGTCTTGGCCACTGCAGTATTTCGCGCGGAGTTCCATACTCGCGGCGCTCCACTGCAGGCGCAGGTGGATCTTCCAGATCCGGGCCCGCAGATCGGGATCCACGGACGCTTCCAGAGCCGGATTCTGCCACTCCATATAGCGCCGGGACCCCACTGAGATGAAGTCCGGCAGTCGTGGGACATGATCGCCGGCCAGCCAGATCCCAATCCGCAGATTTTGATGGAGGATCAACACCCTGTTGCCGATGTTCGTGATCCTCGTGTATCGGATCTTCCCTGGACCGTTGACTATCGTGGGGACCCAATGATCTCCACGGGTGACTCAAAATTTCTCATGAACCGGGGTCCTCAGGCGTAATGGGAGCTCCACTGATTCTCCCGGCGGGATCCTCAAGTATTGCCCAAGATTCACGATCCTGGCCTTGTCACTGTAAAGCTGTTGCCTTCCACTAAGCTGGATTCGGACTTCGTCGGGCAAGCTGATGGATCCGTGGGCGACATCCAGGTGGATCCTGGCCGGAACCATAAAGTCCATGCCGGGGATAGCTTCCTGGTCAGAGAGATCTCCTACCCAAATATCGAAGAAATAAACCAACAAACCTGCGAGAGTTACCTTGTTCCGCGTTCATCCCTCCGTTCGATACACCTTGTCGCCGATCCCCATACAGTCTTGGATCTGGATCGAGTCGATGTAGCACCCAATCTTACGAGAAAAGGCGGTATCCACGATGGACACCTCGGCACCAGTATCTAGGAGTAAGATCGCCTTCTCATTGTGGATCTTGCCGACGATCTTGGCTTGACGGAACCACTTACCAGGAGCATGGTGTTTCCAGTATCCGCGGGATTCTCCCGGTAAGAGATCCAATGTCGGCGCGGATCCGGATGGTCGATACTCCGCGATCCGACTAGGCTTCGGGATCTCGGCTGTAGTCTCCTGGCCGCAGGGTTGAACCACAGATCCGAATCATGCTGCTTCCAATAACCTCTGGATTATCCTGGATGGAGATCCACAGTCATGGTCAGGGGTTAATATCAGAGCAGGTATCGGTATGGTATCTTGATACTG